AGCAGCAGCATGATGCTTCAGAACACCCCTCACTGCCATCGCTTCCTGCTTGGGAACAGAACGGGCTCTGCTGCAGGACTCTGCCCTTCGCTGCTCTTCAGCAGTTGGTGGTATGGCTGATGAGAGCACACACCTCCTAATTATTTTGTGAGGTTTGGGCTGGTTTTCAGCAACACTGGTGTCTGGAGTGATGTGAATGCACCAGACTCAGCTTTCTCTTTTATTATTCTTGCTCTTTTACTCATTTTTTGCTTTGCCCACTATTCCTACTGCTTCCATCCAGGCAGGAGGTGCACACAGAGGGGTGCCACAGGATGTCTCCTGCCTTGCCAAAGGCAGGAGCAGCTCTCGTTAGGCTGTACCGTTGTGTTAGCTGATATTTTAACAAACATGTAGCTGTTAAAATGCTTGTTCTTTGTGCCTTAATGTGAACAGCAGCCCAAGAGACACGGCTTACGGGGACTTGTTTGCGTTAGGGATGTTTGCAGCAGGTTAGGCACCATGTGTCGTGCTGCCAGAGCGTGCTTGTAGGGTGTGCTTGTAGAGCAGGCGAGATGGCTCCAGGGACCAGGGGGGCTCTGAGGGGCCTGGATGTGGCCAGAGCAGGGGTCCAAGGGGTCTTCAGGCATCCAGGGGGGCTCTGAGGGGCCTGGCTATGGCCAGCGCAGGGGATCAGTGTCTTCAGGGGCCCAGGGTACTGCACTGCTAGTCCATCCCCTGCCATGGTTTCAGCTAGTCCTAGCACTGCTTTCCCAGGTGGCACAAAGGCAGGACTCATGCCAATAGGCGCTCTGGCTGAGGCTGAGATGAGGACTTTTGGGGAAAAAGGAGGAGAGTTCAACTATATGGAAACTGGCCAAATCACACCATTTACCCTCACAGATTGTGTTTTTTGTTTGTTTGTTTTGTTTTGTTTTTGTTTGTTTTTTTTTTTGGCCTGTTTTATTCAAACTGCTCTGTGAATAGCTGCAGTGGGGACGAGCTGTCAAGTGTAAGCCAGCTTTTGGTGGAATGGGCCATAGTGACTCCGGGCAAACCCACAGTGGCATTCCTGTCAGCACAGAGGCAATGAACATGGCTGCCTCTCACCTCCACACAGCCCGGGGATGGTGCTGAGGCCCACTGCGAGCACGGTCTGGGTTTAAGTACAGACTTGGCTCCTACTTGACTGTCAGTGTAGACACATCCTTAGTGTTTTCATTGCTGGGGGAAACAAACCCTTCGGCGTGTGCTTGCCTTCACACCCTGCGCGGATCCAGCTGTCTCTGCTTTCTCTCTGCTCGCAAGCAGATGGCGGAGCGAGAGAGGAGATGCCTCAGGTGAGCTGGGCTGGGAGACACAAGTGTGAAGAGACACATCGTTGCGTTGTCAAAATATTGGGATGTCTAGTTTAAACCAGAACAGAAGGGATTGCAAAAGCCACCGGCTCCCCTGGTAACAGCGCACGGGTCCGTGTGTAGGCCGTGAGCTGGGGGAGTACGAGGAGGTGGGGGTTAGCGGGAGCTGTGGGGCCGTGGGTGGGCTGCACGCCCTGCAGGCACCCCTGCTCTGCAAACAATAACAGGAACGTTTAAATGCCGTAAAGCTCATTTTATCAGGGAGATGGTTTGTTCCGAAAGCGGCTGTTGTGCGCGGTTCCTTTGATAGGTCTCAGCAGATAGCACCAATTATAAAATTATTAACAAACGAATGTGCTCCTTCGCTCCAATTAAATGATAAGAGCTAAAGCAAAGAGGCAGATTTTTATCATTATCAGATTACAGGCCCATATTGTGCTGATAATAAAGTAGGCACTTTCTGATATGCTACCTCCAATATGACTCCTTAGATTATTGTATGGCTATGGAAAAAAAATAAAAAGAATTTTGCAAAAGCAATAACAACGTTGGAAGTGTCTTTATCATAGGCCGTTCGAGGGAGCGTAACAAAGGGGCACGAAATGACTCAGGCTGATGGCAGTGAGGATAATAAGAGCATCAGGAGTGGGGAGGGTGCCCACACAGCAGAGCACTGGGCCAGAACATCTCAAGGCTGTTAAGCAAACTCCCTCTTAAGGCTTTATCTCTTTCATGTAATCAGGGAGGCAGTCTTCTGCAGCGCGTGGAAAAGTGAAAAGATCCACAGGAGGAGGAAATATTTGATATTGAAAGATCTTACAGGGGTGGGAGGAGTGTTTCTCTCCTGTGCATTTCCCCCTAGAAAGTCTGGCAGGATTTGGGCTGCGGTTACAAATGCACGCTTCCTTTTTCAGCAGCTGAAATCTGATGTTTCAGAGGTGATCAAATGTAATTAGGCAGCGTAGTACTAATTCAGATGCCATGTGATGTGTCGAAGGAGGGGAATAGCAACTGCATGGCAGGAGGGACAGAATCAGTTTCCCCTTCCTGACCCTGAAGCAATCATATAAAGCCCGAGAGCTGGTTTTATTTTCCTCTCTGCAGGGGAGAGACAGCAGTTTAAGGAAGAGTCCTACTCTGTATTTGACTCTACGCCTTGCTATGTGTTAGGTTGTTAGGCTGGTAAAATATGTAGAGGATGTGATTCCCTTCCTGTACTGGCATAAATCAGAAGTCACTCTAGCTGCGCTGATTTACACAAGCTGAGGGTTTGGCTTAACAAAATTATAACAGCATAAAGCTGGTGAGGAGGAAAGGTCGAGCCCACCGTATCTGTCTCAAAGCATGGTGATATTAGCCATGAAATTGTGATCATGACTGATCAGGGAACCTCATCATTAAGTGACTAATTATTATTAATTATTATTTATTAGTGTAGCACCAGGGAGCCCTTGTCACATTCATGTTAAGCTCCCTTGAACCTGGATCCACTCCAAATTTTCTGAAGTCCTTGAGTTTGCAAAACAGAGCTGCTGATCTCCTAGGAACAGGTCTCGGAGTTTAATACTCCTGGGACTGACAAGCCTCAAAGGAGAAGTGCTGTAACGTGTGTATTGCTCGTGGCGGGTCCTGAGAGAAGCCCAGCAAAGAACTGGGAAATAATAATGTGAAAATGGTGAGCTGCAGTTAGACTTCTGCTGAACTCGGGATGGTTCTTTGTGTGTGTGTGTGGCTGCAGGCTCAAGCGCTTCTAATTACCCATCCCAAGTGATCAGATCAAATTATCTCAGAGGGCTAATTTCAATGAATTTTGCTCTCATTTTCACCGATGTAAATCACAACTCCTCTGCTGTCAGTGGAGCTGAGCTGGATTTACACCCAGCGTAACAGAGGCTGGAAAGCATCTGCACTGAACTCCTGCCAGTTCTTTTCTGAGTCTGCCTGCAGAGACTCCAGAACCAAGTGACATTGGCTTTCCTAGGCATCAAAGGGCCACTTGAAAGGCTAATTAATGTTATCTCTGTGCCAGATCAGGGACGTAAAGGACTGTTTTCTTGTCCTGATGCAGCACCAACATGTGCGGTTTTACAGCCCCAGCCTGTTGGCTGCTGATTCTGCTTGCGTTCACTGTTATTTACAACCCTATACACAAAAAGGTCTATTTTATTTATTTGTATGTTTTTGCTTCCCGAGAAGATCTTCAGCTGCGAGCTGAGTCAGCAGGATCTCTAGTCAAACGGCGAGCCTCTTTCCCTACAAGATACTGAAACCCCGTGATGTTTAGCCTGACAGGATAGAACTTTGCTTTCAGTGTGCCACATCACTTTGTTTCGCCTCCCATCTTTCCCTGCAAGCAGGAAGCAGCCCTCTTGAATATAATTTCTATTGAAAGCAAATGGTGTCTATGTCTGATTAGTTCTGGCTTGAGGCTGTATCAACAAGCTCACTGTTGGTCCTGCATTTGCAGCCTGGAATATTTTAGGGCACTTGAGTCTGACAGATTCATGTTTATTACATTAAACCATTTTATCATTGACTCGCCAAAGTGTTATTCTCCCAGCTGGAAAGAGGCAGTTAAAAAAAAAAAGGCAGTTACACCTCAGTCCGAAGTGCTGACAACAAGGCCAAATCCTGAAGCCTTTGCTTAGAGCCTCAGAGGGGCTAATCCTGCTCTTGTGCAGGGTCTCATTCTGCCCCTGCTGTAGTGAATGGCAAAGCTGTGGTGTGAGAAGGAAGACTCCTCTGAAAGAGACAAAATTTGATTGAGACATGACACTGGGTAAGTGGGAATCAAACCAGCAGATTGCGGTCTGTTTTATGGGCCAGAGGCTCTGCTGGTGTTCCTGGGATTGCCCCGGCTTGTCCCTGTCCCCATATAACAGACCAGGCCCCTTCTCCTCAGGGAGCCACAGCTGTTTTATAGCACTAACATCAGCAAAATCTGTGTCAGCAAATAGGCCTGTCCAGACAAAGAGGGAGCTGTGAGGGGAAGTGCTTTTGCTGTTATTTTTTGCTTTTGCTAAGCCATTTCTCACAGTGCAACTGTACAAACACAGTAAGTCACCTTTTTCCCCCCAGAAGCCCAGGGCCTCAAGGATTCTGTTTGCATTTCCTCCCTGGGGACAGGGTTTCCATTACACCAAGGCCTCTCTGCTTCACTCTGGCAGCCTACAAAGGTCTTGAAAGGGTTGGAAAATGTCCCCTGCCAGCTTCCCTTGCTCGGGAGAGCTCCCTGGCTCACACGGAGCTGGCAGTGGGCCTCTGTGCCGCAGAAGCCTCCGCTCTGTGGGAAATCCCAAGGGGACGAGCTGTGGGCTCTTTCAAAACAAAGGTATACATTTCAAAACATCCTGTGGAAGGGAAAATACCATCAGCAACCAGCAAACGGTTTTGAAGCAATCAGGCTGTTCCATTTAAAACCACCCAGAGTCTGGCAGCCTCCTCCACTATTTTTCTTTCTTGCTTAACATCTAGAAGTCTCGGAGGAATTTCCCGGTACATTTGCTCTGCTTCACCACAGGTCTCCGTAGAGTGCCTCTGTGACATGCACTGTGTGGCCTGACGCTTGACTTTGTCATTCTGCCCATCTTGTCATTCTCACAGATTAATCAGAATAATTCTTAATATTTCCCAGAAGTAACTTCTGCCTGGGTTCTCCTGCAGGTGTTTTTACCAACGTTACTGGCAGCTGCGCACCATCCCAGCAAGACGAGGGAGATTGAGGTGCTGAAAGCAAGCACAAGTGAGCTGGAAGCTAAGCATGCTAACCTAAGCTACCTGTCCAGAGTTTCCTTGTCAACAAAAACAAAAGATACAAACTCCCAGAGATGTCCTGTGTCATGAGGGGTGAGTAGTGTTTTGGGGACCAGAGGGCGAGGGGATGCCTGGAGCTGGTTAGGGCAAATGGCTGATGTATTTATCTGGAGCACCTTGGTACGTGGGGTTCCTTGAACTACAAGGGAGGTGAGTCCTTACCCTTTTTTCAAGGCTGTGAGCCAGCTAGAGAAGTGATAAGGGGTAGGATGAAGGGCAGTGGAGCTGAGACGTGTCAGGCTTCCCAAGTCCCAGGCCAGTTCCTTGTCCATTAAACAGCACAGCCCTCCTTGGTGCCTGCGGACTGTCTTTCAGTCCAATACTCTGTTCACAGTCCAAGGCATTCTCAAATTTAAGGAAGAGACGATAAAATAGATGAAAGCTGATCAGGAACTAACATTCTTTAAGATCGCACTCAGTAACCCTTTGTTTAGCTAACCCAGTCTTTGAAGAAACTGGCTGCACATCTGAAATGCGTTTGTTCTGTAGACAGATAACTGTGAAAGTAGAACCCGGTCTCCAAAGAGCTTTAAGCTTTCTTTGAAGAAGGCAACCGACTACATGTCATGCCACATAAGACGTTAACCTTTAAATGTTATGCAGATGACTGGGGAAGGAGGCCATTTGTTACAGGAGGGGAAAAAAGAGAAAGGGTGGTTTTGGCTCTGCTGCCAGGAGAGCCAATTCCCATCAGTGGGTTTGATGCATTGTTTCATAAGTAGCAGTGTTGGTTTTGTACGAGAGCAGCTCTCAGAAACTGTAATGTTTAATGCAGAATGAAATGTGTTCTAGGAGAGAGAGTTTTTGCAGCCAGTGAAGCAGGATGCGTCTCAGAGACTCTCTCCTTAATGCTCTCTGATTCTACAGCAAAGGCATAGTCTGCTTTGTGGTCCTTGCATCACATGTAGGTCTCTGCACCACAGATCATTTCTGGGATGTTTTTGTTTTCAAGAACTGTTGCCATTGTGGAAAGCAAGCCAGAAAGCATACCTTGTGTTGTCCTGGGCAAGAGACATTGTTTTGTTATTCGGTATGTCTTCTTTTGAAAACAAAAGTAATTTGTGCTAACATGATGTGCTATTTGTGTGCAGAAAACAGCACAAGGCATTGAAAGTACTGGAAGCTGTAGCTCTCCAAATTAAACTGTGAATTCCCTCCTGCCTTCCCCTTCTCAAAGCATTCGCACTCAGGGCAGCTTTGCATTTCCTTTCTGTTTTCAATATAGACACGTGTGCTTACTGCAACTATTTTATCAATGAATAGCAGTTTAAAAAGTACTGGTTTTGGTGTGGTTTATCCCAACCCTGTAGTAAGAGTCTGACCTTCCCGTTAGAGATTGCTCTGCTTCGCATGCAAGAAACATTACCAGAATGTTGCTTTACCCTCTAGCACGTTTACCTCTCTGTGGGCATCATCGAAGCACTAGCTATTATGGCTATACTGCTCCAGCACAGCTCTTCCTAATGATAATATTTTTCCCTTCTTAAAACAACTTCAACGACCATGACTAAGTACCCAGCAGGTCAGCTGGGAGTAATCGGGTTTCTGCCTGCATCTTTCAAACAGAGCGAGGCTTCTTCGGGTCTCTGCGTCACACACCCAGGCTTTGGGGGAATCGCCGTGAATGGCTGGGAATGTGTCTTGGCTTTCCTCTTAATCTCTTATCACAAGATTAGCTAATGTCTGCAAAGCCCAGGAGGATTGGGTAATGATAAGGGATCATCAGGCGAGATGGGAAGATAAGCATTGTTCTCTAAGAAACCAGCCTCCCAAGGAGATAATTATCTCGTGCTCTCCATCAGCGCTCTGCTCGCCCCATCCCGGAGGCCCTCTGCACTGCGGCTGTTGCGACGGGGCACAGCAAAGCAGCAGCAGTGGAGCGAGTGCCCCTTGCAACCCTACAGAGAGCTGCAAAGTCACAGACTTCATGTGAGGGTAGCAGTCGGTGCTGCTCGGGGCTTTGCACGGCCCCCAACAGCCCCTGACTCCAGGATCCCAAGTGCCACACGGGGTCTGAGATGACCCACTGCGTGCAAAGGACAATTGGTGTTTTCAGCCCCGCTGGTAAAAAGAAGGAAGAAAAAAAAAAACGTGTGGGGGTGGAAAAGCCCAACTCCTTTTTTCTGTGCTCTACAAGGTGCTAGAAAAGCAGAGCAAGCATCCTGCCGGATGTCTGTGTCGGTACAGGGAGCGGTTTGAGACATTCCTTTCCATCAGCTGCTTGTAACCTGTCTCAGCTGAGTCGTCGTCGCCCACGGTGCGTGCACATTCCCAGCTGCTCCACTGCAAAATGAGACGGGTTCTTCTAATCCTCCTCTCCCCCTGACTGTGTCTCGGGGCTCCCTGGGGCGATTGTTTCTTCAGAGGCAGTGTTTTGGCAAACAATGGTTTGTATCCCTGCAAAACAAGTGCCGGGTCTCCAGCAGAGCAGGACCGCCGATCCTAAAACTGGTTTTGAACTGTGCTGGGATTGGAAGTGAGTTCTCTACTTTTTGGTGTTTTCTCCTCTTTTTGGTGTTTGCAGTAGAAACACCAAAGGAGCTTTGGAGAGGCACTGGCTGCCAAACCACACCATCTCCAGGGCAGCGTTGGGTCTGGGTCATCCCTCTTGTGGAGTCGTGGGGACGTGGTGGCACGGAGCAACTGCCTGGCACCCCATCCTGCTGCCCACATGGCAGTTCCTGCTTCTCCTTCCTCCTGCACTCCTGCTGCTCCAAACGTGGTTAGCTCAGATTTACACCTCGTGAGGCACCGTCTGTGCCGCTGACTATCCATTTCATTATCTGCTTGTAATTGTTTTGTCTTCCCTGATCTTTTGTTCACCTGTGATGAGCGTACAATCAGTTTTGCTCTCCTCTGACATGAGTTACATGCCTTTTGAGCCCTGACTGATTAAACTCTCTTCCTTCTTCAAGTAAATTGGTTCCCATAGAGCTGTCCACTAGTGTGACTCCATTCAGTGTCTGAATTACATCTTCCCAGCTGACAGATGGATCGCTTGAGGGTTTTGTGGTCATTGTGCTAGCCTCAGAAGTTTGTGGATGATTATATTCCCAACCTGGTCAGCCAGCTTTTGTTTGCTGGAACTTTTCTACTCTAAACATTGGTGACTGATGCCTGGTCTGATTGTTCTCAGGCTACTGGAGCCTGCTGCTGCGAGGGAACATTGCTGTGTTATCTGAGAGTTGCGAGCAGCACGTTTGGACCCCTTCTCGGCTGATGTTTAGTGCCAGCATCTGCCTCCAACCTTCACTGCCTTGCAGCAAGTAGTGGCTGCCCAGACAGGGATGCAAACCAGCCAGACCCTGCTCCACCACGTAGGATTGTTTTGCACCAACCTACATGCATTTATGTACAAAATAAAAGTGGACTTGAAGGATGCTGCTCAAGAGAGACTGTTTAAAGGAGGAAGACAACATCCATAGGTGGGGTGAGGACAATGCCATGCTCCATCCCATATAGTTGTCCCGTGCAGCCTGGCTGTCCCTGTCTGGCACCCTCTCTGTTGGCAGGGTGACAGTCAATGTGCACAGCTCAAAGATACTTTGCCAACAGGGGCAGATTAAATTCTGCTTTATTGCTTTCAGGGGCTTCTCTAGCTCTTCCCCGGCTAATGAAAATGTTTGGAGAGTTGGCCAGTGGATGGTATTAATTGGCTCGTGTGATATTTATTTGAATTTTAATTGGATGAGAATTCAATAGAAATAACTATTATTATGAAACTGAATAATGAAGCAGCAGTAGAATTAGTGACCCATTTTTAGCAGGAAGAAATACTTTTTTATTACTTAAAACAAGCTTAAATTAACAACTGCAGATAATGGTTCCCCAGAGCTAGATAAGGGGTTAAGGATCATTGCTCGCAGCGATGACAGGCTACTCACTAAAGTTGGTGAGTTATGTTTCAAGGTTAGGGTTTATAGCTCGGATATATTGTCTCCAAGTGAGTGAAACTTGGTTGACTGGCAAGCCAAATGACTCACAAATTGACCTGAAAAATAGCATTCCCCCCTGCAGCCCCGGTTGTGTAAATGATGTTTTGGAAACCTCCAATTGTGTGGCCAGTTATAAGATTCATCTCATTTGAAGGGGAAGTGGAAAAGATGAGTGTAATCTGGAAACAAAGGACCCTGTGCCCTCAGGTTTTGGCACAGGAGCTGAGCTGCTGATGCCAGTTAAAAGGCTGCTGCCGCTCGTTGCAGCTTTGGGAAGTGACGAGGTCGACACCTTATTTCGGAAAGATGTTTCTCAGGCTGGCAACGTCAGCACAGCGGAGGGGCCGTGCACGAGGAATGAGGACGAAGTTGCCCTGAAAGCTTTAATCTTGTGAAACCTCAGCCCAGTTCTCTCAGTGCCTTGAGCCTGCCTGAATATGCATTAGATCAGAGCGGTGCTACCCACAGATGTTCAGGAGGTTCGGTGTTAATGGATTAGACACACGCTTAGATTAGAAGTTGAGTTTCGGTGCAGTTCTGCCTCACCAGCAGCTTTGCGGGGCCAGATGAGAATCCGTTTGTGACAAAAACCTAAAAATATCAAACAACTCAGGCAAACTGACGGTGGCCCTTTATTGCGAATGATGTCAGGCCCTTCGTGGAGACATTTATCCCAGCACTGATTGCCCGTGGCCAGCCCAGTCCAGGTGCCAGAGTCCAGCTGCAGGGCACCAGAAAATCAGTCACATTTTCATCCAGATGTCACCAAGGGGAAGTTTCTTTCATGTTTCTGTCATATTTAATGGTGTCTGAGCTTAAAATAAACCTACTAAAGGCTCAGCTTCACCTTGGATTGCTGCTCCTCTGTAATCATTTACGCTGGTAAAAGTGGTGTAATTCACATTTCATTTATGCCCACGACATGGTACATGCAGCAGCAGGGGAACGTGGCCTCTTTTCTCGCTGGAACCTTTAAGGTTTCCAGCTCCAAGTGTAATTGGACACTATTACAGTGTTTTATGAGCCTTGTTTGCCTGCACTAAGAAGAACAAAAAGTAGTTCTTAACTCAAGCTAAAAGAGCAGGGAAAACAAAGCAA